AGAATGGAGTAATTTTATTTTTGCCCATTTCTGTTAAGCTTACTGAGACACTTTTGACATTTGGTGACTAATTTTAATTAGTGAAGATGTGTTCCATTGGTAGTCTCTGAGAGTTTTATATTTCTATTAGAAGCCTGGTTCACAAAATTCATGCACGGGTAGGGTCCCTAGGCCTGGCCGGCAATCAGGGCCAATCTGCATGGCAACCAGGGCCCCCCCACTGGCACCCACCTTGGTTGGCCTGAGGCCAGCGGGCTGGGAGCAGCTCCTGCACGGAGCGTCTGTCCCCTGGTGGTCAGTGTGCGTCATAGCGACTGGTCATTCCGCTGTTCGGTTGATTTGCATATTAGGCTTTTATTATATAGGATATCGATTTTACTTTATCTTATTCTATTTTTGGTTAATCATCACTTGAGGATATTCATCCATTGATCTTTAGTGAGAGCAGGAGACAGAGAGAGAAAGAGAAACATTGATGTGAAGAGAGACACATCAATCGATTGCCTCCCGCAGGTGCTCTGACCAGGGCCAGAGATCAATCCTGCAACCCCGGTATGTGCCCTTGACCAGGAATTGAACCTGAGACCCTTTGATCCGAGGCTAATGCTCTGACCACTGAATGACTTTGGTCAAGGCAACACCACCATTTTATTGATTTGGAAACAGGTTCATAGAAACTTTGGCCAAGATCACTTGCTGGGAAGTGCCAGAACTGAAACCAGAACACAAATCTTTTCACTCCTAGTTTACTTTTCTCTGTATCAGACTGCATGTGTTTGTGCTTAATAGAATTTTTTTTAGGTCAGGTCCTCAAAATACTGCAAACAGAGACCTTTCTCTAGGGTGCAAAAGTAGCTTCGTTAAATGGAATTTCAGTGATTTTTCTAGAGCACTAAAAAGATTTTATCTAGCATTCCCAAACATAAATGAGCTATCTTGAAAATTCCAGTATTTTGATTTTAAAAAATCAAGTTGCTTTGGGGAGGTGAACATACAATATAATATACAGATGATGTATTATAGAATTGTACACCCGAAATATAATTTTATTAACCAATGTCACTCCAATATATTTAATTTAAAAAAGAAAAAAAACCAAGTTGCTAAGTGTTATGATTTAAAAATATGGCCATAAATTACTTGATACTCCTCCCTTCAAGAAGTGGAGCTTAATTCTCCTCCCCTTGAGTACTGACTGTACGTAGGAATCCACTTTTCTAATGTATAGAATGTGGCAGAAATGATGGGATGTGACTTCTGAGGGTAAGTTATAAAAGACATTGTGGCCCCTACCTTGCGCTTTCTCTGAGATCAGTTGCTCTAAGGCAGTTGCTCAACCTCAGTACTATTGACATTTAGGCCAGGTGATTCTTTGTTGTGAAGGATGTTTAGTGATATCCCTGGCCTCTACCCACTAGTTGTCAGTAGCAGCCCCCAGTGCCTCCATCCCCACACACACACACCAGTTGTGACAGCTAAAAATGTCTGACATTGTTAGATGTCCCCTGGGGGCAGGGTACAGTTGGTCTCTGTTGAGAATCACTACTTGAGGGAAGTTTTAGAAACTGAAAAGCTGGAAATTGGTTGCATTGCACATACTTGTATTAATACCATTTTAAGTTCTTCCCATCGATAAGAAAGTGATACTATAAGAGACTAAATTCCATTTTAAAATACCACGTATAGTGCAAATAGTAAATAATTTTTTGATTTTTGAAAAATCTCAAAGTATTATGTAGACATTAAAACAAGATATTTGAAAACTAGTGGTGATATTAAAAGAAAGCTCACAATGTTTTAAATGTTATGAGTTTATAAAGTCAATTTTAAATCCCTTTCTACTCTGAAGAATACATGTTTTTCAAAATATATTTTTATTGATTTCAGAGAGGAAGGGAGAGAGAGATAGAAACATCAATGATGAGAGAGAATCATTGATCCGCTGCTTCCTGCACACCCCCAATGGGGGTTGAGCCCGCAACCTGGACATGTGTCCTGACCAGGAATCAAACCGTGACTTCCTGGTTCATAGGTCAATGCCCAATCACAGGGCCACGCTGGCTGGGCTGAAAAATATTTTTTGAGGTTCCTAAATCAAAACTTGAGCTCTAGTTTTTGTATAAAGTTGCCTTTATTTTCATGTTATTTCTAGGGCAGAGCATAAGCATCAAAACTACATGATACTTGCATCTGTGTCTGAATTTAGAAGAGAAAAAGTAGGTTTGTGTAGTAGAGGGATATATGTACCGAAAAGTATTTCCAGTATGGTATTTATTATAATTTATATCAAGTATTACTAGGTAAAGGGAAGGTATCAAGTCTGAATTACTTAGTTATTTAGGAGGCACATTTTGAAGGCAATTAGTAACTGGAATTCAGTTGGGAAAAAAGCCTCAAATTGTATAATCTGTGGAAGAATAAATCTTTCCATTGATTTCCAAAAATAAAATTGTGTTTATCTTGTTAACCATTATTGAGGGCTCATTTTTCCTTATTAACACCACATGGAGATTAGAAAAGTCACCTATGACCATTGAAAGAAATTGTAAAATTACTTATGAACAAATTATTCAGAGACACTTGCCAGGTGATTGATTATTTTTCATTCTGTTGGGAAAAATCCAAATTGTTTTCTGAGGACAATCCTGGTGCACTCTTTGTCCTCATGCTTTGTGGACGTGGCATTTGTCCGGGTTAGGCAGCACATCACCTTTTTAAGAGGTTGTCTCCCTTCCTCTACCTACCAGCTCAGCTGACAAAGCATATTGCTCTGCCTTTATCCTGCAACACATCTGCAAGCCAGGTGCCAGTCATGGAACAAACACAAAGTCTCTATACCTATCAAAAGCTCAGTTGATGGGGATCATCATCTTCGGAAGATTGTCTAAGGAATATGGAGTTTATTAATCTCTTTTTCTAAACATACTGAAGATTTCCTCTCGGATTAAGTCTGTCGGAGCAGCATACCATGCTATTTTATACTTTCCTTCCTCCTTTGCTAACAATGAACTGCATTTTGGCTTTGTGAAGATGCTCTGAGGAAAGAACCACCTGAAACACACTATTATATTTGTATAAAGCTGTTGATAGGACATCTTTGCCACATTATAAACATACACAGGGGTAGGAACTTCTCTAGTTTTATTACAGGAATAATTATGCCTCTCTTCAGTTCTCCCGAGCACCTGGTTTGTTTTTATTATATGGTTCTTGTGACACATGTCTTAACTGGTTGTTTTTGTGTCATGGCTTTCGTGGACTCCGAGCCAAATTTGAGGCCCATCTCGAACCATATTTAGAAAGGTCCTCCTGATAAACATTTATGCTGACCTCACCCGTATTGAATCTCTTATTTATCTTATTTTCTCTTAATCACAGTTGTGGGTATATATTTCCAGGCTGCTTTAAATTCATTATGGAATAAAGCAGGGTGGGATATATAAATAAATTTAGAAGTTAAACAAAATTATATTAGTATGTAGTAAGCCTTTTTTATTTTCTGGGCAGTTGCGGGGGAGGCAAGTATGAATGTATAACAAAACATTCAATTTCCTTAATGACTATTATTGTGTACGAGGTACTGCATTTATGAGAAGCAGTAAATGAGTGACAGTGACATCCTAATGTTGTAATAACTGCTTTTAATGAGTTTTATATTTATTCCTTTATTTTGTTTAACTTCAGTGATTTTATAAAATGTGAATTAACTATAACTTTGGGAGAATTCATTTGAATTTATATTCAGGGGAAAACTTATTAAGCAATGTGTTCTGAATTTTAGTTTGGAGAATCTGATCATCATAACAATAATTCCATTTTATTATATTGTTAATGAAAACAAAGTTTTATTTGTAGTTGTAGTTTTTAAAATGTGATTTGAGGAATCTTCTCAACTGCTAATACTAGTAAGTGAATCATATAATAAAGGTGAAGTCAAAAGCTGGTCCTAGGGTTGTCCTTATTCTGGCAGCTTGGCATCCTGGAAAAAGAGTGAGCATTGAAATTAGACAGATTTGGGTTTGAATCTCACCGCATACTACTTATATGACCTTGGGTGAGTTGTTAGTACTAGTAGGCATTTCTGCTTTTGTTAATTACAATGTTCAATTTAGGATGAGTTACATGATTTCTTCCCTCTCCAAATACTGCATTGATCAGTGGTAGAAACAGGAGGCTGGGTCAGAACAATTAATTGCTTAAAGAGGTGGGGGTGGGAATGGATTGCATATTCCTTGCTTCAGCAGCTTTTGCTATAATGATTACTATTAAGCAGAGAGCAGTTTCTCGAAACAATTCTTACTTGTTCTCTTTTGTGAGTAAAGTGTGTTTTAAAAAGTGGGAGTGGACCTCGCTGGTTTGGCTCAGTGGATAGAGCATCGGCCTGCAGACAGAAGGGTCCTGGGTTTGACTCCAGTCAAGGGCACATGCCCAGGTTATAGGCTCAATTCCCAGTAGGGGATGTGCAGGAGTCAGCTATCAATGATTCTTGATATTTCTATCATTGATACTTCTATCTCTCTCTCCCTCTCGTGATTCTTGATATTTCTATCATTGATATTTCTATCTCTCTCTCCCTCTCCCTTCCTCTCTGAAATCAATAAAAATATATATATTTTTAAACATTGGGAATGTGTGTCCTTTGAAATAAAAATTAGTCGTCTGTTCTGAGGAAATCATGCAGTTATGGAAGAAACAGTGTTAATTATGCAGGCATGGGCAAAAGTAAGTTTACAGTTGTGAGTACATGAAACAGTTTATTCTTGTATTATTTATTTGTTTTACAACTGTAAGTCAACTTTTGCCCACCCCTATATATTAGGAGTATAGCCATATAAGTATCATTTGAAGGGAAAATAATTGTTAATAGCAGTTTTAGTGTCTCTTTTGTTTTAGGGTAATAGAACAACACAGATGACTTTTGCTTCTGACTTTACTAATGCTCTTATTAAAAGGTAAAGCTCACACTGGCCAGTTTGCACAGTGGTTAGAGTGTCTCCGTATGCACCAATGAGTCTCGAGTTTGATCCTGGCCCCAGTCAGGTTGCATTCTGGAGGCAACCAGTCACTGTGTCTCTCTCACATCAATGTTTCTTTCTCTCTCCGCGCCCCCCCCCCTCCTTCCACTCTCTCTGAAAAGCAGTGGAAAAAATATCCTCAGGTGAAGATTAACAAAAAACACACCACTTGGGTTTGAATTGCAGCTCTCCCAATTTCTGTCTATTCCCTGAATATATTACTTAACCTCTGTCTGCCTCAGTTCTCTCATGTGTGAATGTGAATAATAATAGTGCCTTCTCATAAAGTTGTGATCATTAAAGACGTTCATTCATGTAAAGATCCGAAAACAGTGACTGTCAATAAATGTAGTTTAAAAAAAAAATTTTATCCTCACTTGAGGATATTTTTTCCATTCTTTTTCAGAGTGGAAGGGTGGTGAGGAGCCGGGGAGAGAGAGAGAAACATCGATATGAGAGAGACACATCAATTGGCTGCCTCCTACCTGTGCCTCAACAGGGGCCAGGGCTCGAACCTGCAACCCAGGTACATGCCCTTGACTGGAAATTGAACCCGAGATCCTTCAATGCTCAGGCCAATGCTTTAACCACTGAGCCACAGCGGGCAGGGCAATAAATGTAAGTTTTTAACATTAGTATCAGTTTCTTATTAGATGCTATTAAATTTTATCAAAATTGAGAACCAAATGAGCAGTTAAAAGTTTTTCTTTAATATTTCAGATAACGATTATTGTAAAATACTCTCTTATACTTTGTTAAGCATTTATTGAGATTGTAACATATGCCAGGCATTATTCTGAGTTTTACATAGTACAATAGTGAATAAAACAGATGACACTTTTTGCCCTCGAGATGTTTAGAATGAGTGGAACAGGCGGACGTTAGTAATATCTAATACTGGGCTTTATCACATTTAGTCCTAACAAACACCCTACAGATTAGATATAAACATTATCCTCCTTTTATATGTGAGGCTGAGAGAATTTAATTAACTTTCTCAAGATTAGACAGCTACTCCAATCATCCAATACTAAAGCTGCAGCTCTCATTTAACCACTCTGCTGGGTTGTAAATTAAACATATAGTAATAAACTGTAATTATTGGGGTCTGTAGGTACTGATTAATCCTAGCCTGCCTTTTAATTAACAGATACAGGAGTCAAATAGAGATTGAAATATGTATTCTATTACTGTGAAGCTGGCATAGAGAATGCCTTTTAATGCTTGGAGGAGCAGCTCAGGTGGGCTTCTTATTTTTCCCCACTGAATTTAACCCGCACACTGAGTCACAGGCAGGTCAGCTAGAAACCCGATGAGTCTTGCTCCAAGAATCCCCAGCAGGCTTACAGTGGAGTAGAGGAGAAACAGAGTCGAAGGGCATGGGCCAGACAGGAGCAATGACCATTGCTTTCAATCTCACCAGAGCCAGTGAGGAATTTAGAGAGAGTGTAAATTTACTTGGTACTTCCAAAAAGAAGTTAATCTTTTATGGGTTTGTAGGAACAAGGGGAGTAGGAGAGAAGAGAACCCGCCCTCCCTTTATGTGGGATAAGGTAGGAAGCAATGAGGGTGTTGTGACAGGGAATGGCTCCTTGGGACCCATTAGAGACATCTCTGAAGGGATGGCTATTTAAGCCTGTGCTTCCAGGATAGGATTCAGCCGTGGGGGGAGTGGAGGTGTAGAGATGCGGGGAGAAGAGCATTTCAGGGACCAGGAACTGCCTGCCTGAAGAGCTGAAGGAACTGACAGGAGCCAGCATGTTCAGAGCACAACATGTCTGAGGGGAAGGAGGACCAGCACAGGAGCAGTGTGGGATGGCCTCCGGTGGTCAGATCACCTGAACCTTGTAGGCTGATAGGATATTTGCTTTTTATTTTCTATGCCAAGGAAATTCTTTGAAGGATTTGAAGCAGGGGAGTGGTGTCATCCAAGTTATATTTTTTAAAGATTGTATTGTATGCTTGTGGAGAGTATATTAGAAGGTAGCAAAATAGAGGAGGTGGGGAGACCAGTATAATGAGCAGTCTGGTGATGAGGATGACTTGGGCTGATGAGGAAGCAGTAAAATGAAGAGAAGTTGAATTAGCCCTGGCCAGTGTGCTCAGTGGTTAGAGTGTTGGCACAAGCACCAAAGGGTCTCAGGTTAGATTTCCGGTCCCATTCAGGGCACTTATGGGAAGCAGCCAATTGATGTGTCCCTTTCACATCAATGCTTTTCTCTCTGTGCCTCTCTCCTCCCTCACTCTCTCCATCTCCTTCTCCCTGCTCCCTCCCTTCCTTCCATTCTCTCTAAAAATCAATGGAAAAAATATCCTCTAGTGGGGATTAACAAAAAAAGAGAGAGAGAAGTTGAATTAGAGATGTGTTTGGAGATGGAAACCATGAGATTTGCTGATTTGTATGGGTTGGAGGTAGGAGACAAGGAAAGGGAGAAATCAAGGGTGGCATTCAAATGTCTGGCTCCAGCAACTGGATGAAAACCATTTGCTGAGATAAAGGAGACAGGGAGAAGTAGTTTTGGGTGTTTTGAACTTGCTAAATTTAGATGCTTATGTGTTTTTATATGGAGATGTCAGGTAGGTAGCCAAGCGCAGAGGAGATTTCAGTGAGAGATGTAGATTTGCGAGTTTTCAATATATAGATGACATTTAATTTAAAGTCATGGTAGAGATGAGATCATTGAGAATGAGAATGAGAGAGAGAGAAGAGAAGAGGGCCCAGTACCGTGCCCCGAAGAACTCCAACGTGCAGAGCTTGACTAGTGGAGACAGAAACGGTGCTGCCGCAGAGGACATAGAAAACCAGTCGAATGTGCTGATATGGACTCCAGGGTGGACGGTGTTTAGAGAAAGGGAAAATGGTAACTGTGTCCATTGCTGATCCAGAAAAGTGGCCATTGGATTTGGTAACAAGAGGTCATCGAGGACACCGAGAAGAGCAGTGTAGTAGCTTGAGGAAAGATGGGAGCTGAGGAAATGTCGTGTAGATATCTGTGCTTCTCAAACCTTAGATGCAGATAATTACCTGGAAATCTTGTCAAAATGTAGATTCTTTTCCAGGGCCTGAGATTCTGCATTCTAAGAGCATCCAGATAATTCAGTGCTGCTGGTCCATGGGTTAGTGGTTCTCAAATTCCAGTGTGTGTTAAAGTCACATAGAGGGCCCTGGCTGGTGTGACTTGTTAGTTGGGCGTCGTCCCATGCACTGAAAGGTTGCTGGTTCCATTCCTGGTCAGGGCACATGCCGGGGTTGTAGACTCAATCCCCTGCAGGAGACAGCTGATCAGTGTTCTGCTCTCACATGGACGTTTCTCTCTCTCTCCCTCTCATTTCCTCTCTCTAAAAATCAATTAAAAAATCTTCTAGAAAATTATGTGGAGGGATTGATAAAGTGCAGATTATTGGACCACTTCAGACTTTCTGATTCAGTGGGTCTGGGGTGGTACCCGAAAATTTACATTTTTTTAAGTTGCTACGTGGTACCAAATCTGGTGGTGTAGAAACCACACTTTGAGAACCACTGGAGAGGTTTTAACTGTGATGGGGAGCTGTCAAGAGAGATTTTTCATTTGTTTGTTGAGGGTGGCAAATAACTAGAGCATTTTTATGCTGATGAGAATGATCCCTTAGGGAGAAACTGATGATATAAGAGAGAAAGGGAACCAAGGAGTCAGCCCTTGAAAAGATGAGGGAAGATGGGCTCTGAAGCATGCTTTGAGGTCTTGGTTTTTATAATAAAGAGCATGCGCCCTTCACTGTGGCAAGAGAGAATGCAGAGGAGATGGGTCCATGGGTTTGTAGGTTTAATGATAGGCAGATGCAGTTCCCCTTTGATGGTTTCTATTTCCTCAATGAAGACATGGGCTACTCCTGAGAAAAGGGGGTGACGTTGTCAAAGGCTGACTTTGAGTAGGAAAATCAACTTTAAGAAAAAAAATGGCAGTATTGAGAGGCTTATTTGAGGTTAAGGTAAGAAATTAAGAGTGAAACCGATCTGTATGATTGTGATTTCCTTTTGTTCTTTTTGTTTTTTCTTTAACCACAGTTAGTTTTTCAACCACAGTCAGACATGGAGAATTAAGTAGTTGAGATCTCCCAGAGTTTATCTAGGTCAGTGGTTCTCAACCTTCTGGCCCTTTAAATACAGTTCCTCATGTTGTGACCCAACCATAAAATTATTTTCGTTGCTACTTCATAACTGTAATGTTGCTACTGTTATGAATCATAATGTAAATATCTGATATGCAGGATGATCTTAGGCGACCCCTGTGAAAGGGTCGTTTGACCGCCAAAGGGGTCGCGACCCACAGGTTGAGAACCGCTGATCTAGGTGAATATTAGAGAGAGAGAGAGAGAAAGAGAGAGTGAGAGTGAGTGAGAGAGAGAGAGAGAGAGAGAGAGATGCAGGGAGGGAAGAAAGGAGGGGAGAGAGAGATTAGAGAAATGGTACAAGGGAACCTAGACTACAGTCTAAGCCTGGCAAGAAAGGAAATGAAGACATGAGAGGGTGCAGGATAGAAATAAGCAATGATGAAGAGGTCAATGAATTATCATAGTCAGGTACAAGTAAACTAAAACTAAAAGGCACAGGTTTGTGATGGAAAATCAGTGCTATCATTCAAAATTTGGTAGGCAGGGCAGCTCTTGGTGGTGATAGAGGTCCAGAGTGTGGCACAAATATGGGTGAATGAGGTGGAATTTCCTGGAGAGGTCAGGAAACTGAGACCAGGATGTTGGATGTGCCCTCCTGGATATTGAAGTTGCCAAGAATGATGACAGAAGTTGGGAGTGGAGAGAGACTTTGAGATAGGAACTAACTTTTCAATGAATGATGGAAAATCCCAGTTCAGTGAATAACAGCAGCAGAGAGGGTTGTGAACAGGGACTTTTATAAAACAAAGGGAGAGTTTGGGTTGGAAGTGGTAATGCTTGGCAAGGCGGACATCTACCCCACCTGCTAGCCTTGAGAAACCTGGGATATGAGGGAGAGATGCCCTCTAGCTGCCAGGCTGTGAGGGAAGTAGTATCTTCAAGGAACAGCTTAGTTTTAGTTAAAGCAGATGGAGAGAAGGTTCAGAAAAGGGGTTGAAGATGTACATGAGTTGATCACAAATAGGGAGTTGAGGAGCAAGGACATGGTGTAAGGATTTGGGAGTGAAGGTAGGGAACTTCTAGAGTAAGTCCAGAGTCATATGGGAAAGAGAGTTTGGTGATAATAAATGATCTGAAAGTCTTGGACGCCCATTAGAGACTGACATAAACAGAAGGGTGAGGCATGACGGAATTAGCCAAGCCTCTAAAAGTACTTAACATACATGGTAAGTTTGTTGCTGCAGATGTTCTATGTCAGTGGTCGGCAAACTCATTAGTCAACAGAGCCAAATATCAACAGTACAACGATTGAAATTTCTTTTGAGAGCCAAGTTTTTTAAACTTAAACTATATAGGTAGGTACAGTCAACTTTAAATTCAACTCTAAATTCACGGTTTTCGTCTTCAGTTTTTCTTTGCTTCTTTGTAGCCATCTCCAACAGGGCACCTAAAAAAATGTTTCATTTTATAATAATAAAGCCACCAACACAAAAGAATTACAATTCTTAAATTGATGACAAAATC